ATTCCTTGGGGTCTATATTGATGATCATCTCACTTGGAAACACCATATCAGCTACGTACGTAAGTAAAAAAATCGTTAAATCAATAAGTATTATATTCAGGTCTCGCTTTTTCCTATCCTCTACAACCAAACTCACTTTTTACTACACCTCAAGTTATCCTTATATCGTCTATTGTAACTGCACCTGGTCGTCCACATACGTATCTAACTTAAATAGAATTTATTACTTGCAAAAGCGAGCTTTGCGGGCTATCGCCAACGCAGACTACCGAACCCATTCCGCTCCTTTGTCCTCCAAACTAGGAATTTCAGATATTTTCCAAGTCAATACGTTTGAAATCGCCAAATTCATGTTTTATTACAGAAATAACTTATTGCCTCTATTGCTTCTCAATCTTTTTGTAACGAATAGCCAAATTCACAACTATGGTACCAGAACAGCCAGTAATTATCGAACGCATTTGTACCGCATAAATCTCGAGAAATTTACAATTCTTTAACAAGATCCTAAAATTTGGAACTCTCTTCCTGTTTCAGTCACTCGTTCGTCAAACCTTCCTGGTTTTAAGACGAAAATGCAAGAGTTTTTACTTAAATAATTACTGAATTGGCCTAGCTGCACATTCGCAGCACTTTTTCTATACTTTATTTATTAATGTAAGTTAGGTGACTCTCCCATAAGCCCGGTGACTTTCTGGGTCTCCTCGCCTTCTAGCTGTAACCGCTGTAAATATATTTTTTGTATTGTGTAAATAAGGCAAATAAAACATGATGATAATGATGCACGCAATTTGCATCTGCATAATTATGATAATTTTGTTAGTCTTTAAAAAAATTACACGTGCTTATTTATTCCAAATTGCACTCGAAATCATGTGATTACCAATACTAATATCTTGAGCTCTGTAAGATCAGACCTGCGTGACATTCGAGGTATTTCAACCTTAAACCGCATCTCAATTCATGTTCATCATTGAATCAAATTTGTCAAATCCTTTAACTTTTCCATTTTTCAAGACCAAAATCTTCTGACAGTCTTTTATTGTGTTCAAACGGTGAGCTATAGTGATGACAGTGGACTCTCTCAGTTTGTCCCGCACTACATTCCAAACCGTCTGCTCTGTGTCTGGGTCAACATGCGCAGTTGGCTCGTCCAAGACGACGATTTTACTTCGCTGTAGCAGCACACGAGCCAAGCAAATTAACTGCCGCTCTCCAACACTTACATTAGCGCCATGTTCCAGCAGTTCGTGATCGAGCTTGGCTGCAAGTGCCTCGACAAAATCTTTCAGTTGCACATCCTCTAAAGCC